TGCCCCCCCCCCCTCCCCTCCCCCCCCCCTCATGCTGCTGATATGTAGGATTAACTTCCTGAGTATTATCTGGATAGCAGACCACCTGGACAAATCTCAGTCACCCCATTCAACCTCCAGAGAGATTATAATTGGAGCGCCTGTAACATCTATACCAGCCTAATGTTATATATATATATATATATATATACATATACATACACACACACAATCACACACACATATATATAACGTCCCCCTGACACGATTGAACACCTGTACAGGATAGGCATAAAAGAATCTGCTGCCTGTGATTGTGGAGCAGAAAGACAGACCCCTGGGCACATACTGCAGTACTTCCCTTACCTCTCCCAGCAAAGACTGTGGATCTGGCCCAGGGGATCCACATTGCGAGAGAAGCTATGGGGGACCGGTGGCGACCTTAAAAGCACAATCCTATTTTTGACCCAGACGGGACTCAATGTGTAGCATGACTAATGTCGAACGCAGAAGAAGAAGAACTCTAAAGGATTAACTCTAAAGGATAAAAATTAAATAGGAAGCAATCCCAGAAATACCGTTGCACCGTAAAGCATTGTTACATCGGGGCACCTGATAGTTACGAAGTAACCTGTAGTCAAGCGGTTCTCAACCGGCCGGTCGCGACCCTTTTTTGGGGTTGAACGATCCTTTCACAAGAGTCGCCTAAGATCATATGAAAACACATATTCATCGAAGTTATGAAGGAAACTAATTGTGTAGGGGTCGCCACAACATGAGGAAACTGTATTAAAGAGTCGAGGCATCAGGAAGGCTGAGTGCCTTTGCTGTTCTCCAATGTGAGTGGATTTGGTTGGTGATCTGTACTGAGCAGTCCTATGTGAGGGTCGTGAACAATTATAATGAGCACTTATAGGTGACGTGGTTAATAACATACACAGGGTACCTATATATATATTTTTTGTGTGATGTATACTTAGTTAATTAGTTAGTTGGGTTATCATCATTGCACTCCGAACATGTCCATAGGTGCTCAGACCCTCGCCTCAGTATGAACCCCAACGTCCGATGGCTAATAGTACCAGTTCTATGTTGATTAACAAGTCTTCTGGTGTGTCTGGTGTGCGTCTCGTAATGTTTGCTTGCTTGTTGTACCCCACTAGGACATCACACAAGCGATAAACACCCGGCGACACAAAGTGCCACCACGCGGATGAGGATCACCTGTGGAGAGGTCTCAGAAACCCCTTTCAGCCGTTATGACCACATCAATGTCCCAGCTATATTAAGGGCTCCTGGCAAAAGCCAGAGGGGGGTTTCAAATAACGAAGAATTGCATCCCATATCCCAGGGAATTTCCACAGCTCAATGAGCTCTCTTTCCTTGCCTGTGTGGGTCACAAGAGACGCATATATTATCTACTTAAGTTCCTTGCTTTGCTTATAAATATTTAAATTTGTTAGTAATGCAATTTAAATGATGACGTACTGTCTCTTCTGCCAGTTTTATTATATCACTGTTGATTCTTGTAGTTTGACTATCCCTGCATTACTACAGTCTACGCCCATAAGGGTGACTGGACACAGGGTGCTTTTGTCGTGTCTCATTCACAGTGTTAAGGGGCTGTTTGTGATTGGTACCTATTAGTAATACAAAAACAAACAAAAAAGGAAAGTAAAGATCCCTGTTCACGCCTTTAGGCGCATCGGGCATATGGGAAGAGCACCTATATTTTACATACCAATCAGCACTAGGTGGGTAATGTGTTCAGTATTACGCTAGCCGTCTTTACTTTCCCAAGGCATACATCCTGGTACCCATTTTAGACTGGGTGGATAGAAATCCACGCAGCCAGCAGTGGGTTTCGATCGCGGTACGTTAGAATTATGAGTTGGACTCGCAACGCCTAAGCCTTGGACGCCGCTTTGTGCTTATTAGCTGTTAGATAATACCAGAAACCTTGGATATATTTTGACTTTAAACAGCCCGTATTTTATGGTGACTACAATATGTTGAAAATAACCGCTAAAATTGTTAGTTCTAATTGGGGTAAAGGTCTGCTTAAGGATTTTTAGTTAGTAAAATCAGGTATCTAGCAATATAATCATGTTTATGATGAATGATGAACTGAAAAATCTGTTTTCACATTTGTTTCAGTAACGAGTTCTCCAAAATGACCACAAAGCGCATTGCCTTCAATATCCGTCCTTTCGATGAGGGATCTCTGGCCGAAGAAGCTGGCGAACAAGCCCCACAGGTCAAAGGTCCTCTGGAAGCTTTCTGTGACAACATTCATTTCCTGATGACCACTGTAATGGATTTCCAGATGAAGTACATGGTCCGTGAATCCATGAGCCGGTACGTTGCCGAACATTTGAATAAAAGGGTGATGTGGTGGTCTCTGGGACAAACCGTCATCATCGTGCTCACAGGTTTCGGGCAAGTGTTTATTTTCAAGAAATTTTTCACAGAAACGCGACGTTCTTCCAAACCTCTTGAAGTGCCAACTCTAAGTACATGATGTTTGCTTGATAAATCAATGGTGGGGATAGATTGAAGTGCATGCGAGTATGTTACAATTAAAGATATTATGTATCCACAGTCTCGAAACCATTAATTTGAGCATTTTTAGTTTACTAGTTTGATTTATTTGAATCAGTGTTTATGTGAGATGTTTTTCTTCATCGACATCTTCCACAATGCTTTAGTCAGAATACAAAGTTGACTTTCTTGCCTCCACATATCAGACTAGATGCAAAACATGCCACATAATTGAACTCATTATATGTTCCTTGATTTATTTAGAGATGACAGTGTTCTTTCCCTATCGTGGCCATTGTTGCATTGTTTCAACTACACCTGCCCCAAGCTTGTGCTACTGTAGCAGCGACCATTGTTGTATTCTTTTAACCATATCCACCCCAAGCTTGTGCTACTGTAGCAGCGACCATTGTTGCACTCATTCAGCCATGTCTGCCCCAAGCTTGTGCTACTGTAGCAGCGACCATTGTTGCACTCATTCAGCCAGGTCTGCCCCAAGCTTGTGCTACTGTAGCAGCGACCATTGTTGCACTCATTCAGCCATGTCTGCCCCAAGCTTCTGCTACTGTAGCAGCGACCATTGTTGCACTCATTCAGCCATGTCTGCCCCAAGTTTGTGTTACTGCAGCGATAAAACACCTGGTGATACAAAGCGCCACCATTCGGATGAGAATCACCCGTGCTGATGTCACAGAACCCTAATTTTACCCTTATGTTATATTAGGGCATGCGGCAACAGCCAGGGTGGGGCTTCAAAATAACGTAAAATCGCGTCCCACATGGGAACGGGGATTAAACGAGAGGACAAGATTTAAGTAGTGCTTGACTGTCCAAAATATGTATGACAGATGTGCACACTGTCACCTCTGTCTCTTAAACTGTTTCACACAAGACAGTAATCACCATCAATTGTCTTAGCTGAGCATTAGTACAATGTAGCAACAAGCGCTGACATTGAAATGACATGTATTACATTGAAACCGTAAGTGCCTGGCATAAAAACCCTTATTCTTTCGAATGTTCTCACAAGTAGTTTTTAATTGAAACACTGACCTGGTTTGCGAGGTTGACTCCTTCTACAATATGTACCAATAAATGTCCCAAAAGCAGCCGGCCCGATCCTGTCTTTACTCACTAATAGAGTACTGATTAGTCTATAAACAGTTGATGCACAATATGCACATAGCGACTTGAGACATCGACACCTTTACTTTCTGAAGTTTCTGACCAGCAGCATTTTGGCGCAATGGTATCCTCACTCAGCAATGGCGCTATCCCTGTCTCAGCAATGGCGCTATCACTGTCTCAGCAATGGCGCTAACGGTCAGTTCAGTGTAAATCTCTTGCACATTTTATTGTAGTACAACTTAACGCACACAATGTAGTCTGTATTATCGCCACTGTTAACATTACACTGTAAAGTCTAGATTAGATCTCCACCGATGTCATCCCCTTGGACATGCCTCCAGGAAGGACTGTCACCACGGGTTACAATAAAGTACTGTAAGTGGCCAAGCCATTTTCCTTGTGCTATGAAAGTTATGGGTTCGTTTCACTGAGGCATCATTCAGTTCACCTGTGCTGGTTTTTTTACGAAGATCAGTGATGACTGTGGCTGGAGCTACAGAATTCGTACTTTGTACGAAAATCTCAGAAGGCGGCTAGCCGTTCTGCAAATACAGAGGCTGAACCAAAGATGGGCAAATCATATAAGTAACTTCTTGAACATAAAAGCGCATTGAGCAGGAGGGCAACCGAGTTTCTTTCAGGCAGACTGTGATGAGAGCGACTTTCTGCAAAGGACCTGTTACACGAAGATAATGATGTTGTTTATATGTGTGTAAAGACCTTGGTGCATCCGCACAGAGATACAGTTACAACCATGTTATCAAGTGGATGGAAGTAAGTCTTATTTGTTACTGTAGAATTAGCATCCAAACTGTAGCCCATCTGGTCTTATGGGCGTAGACTGTAGTAATGCAGGGATAGTCAAACTACAGATGATAATGATGTTGTTTATATGTGTGTAAAGACCTTGGTGCATCCGCACAGAGATACAGTTACAACCATGTTATCAAGTGGATGGAAGTAAGTCTTATTTGTTACTGTAGAATTAGCATCCAAACTGTAGCCCATCTGGTCACTGTGTTGTCAACTTTTTAGGTTTTGATTTCCTCACTGACAACCACACGAAAAAAAAAAACCATTCATACACAAACATACACTCACACACACACACACACACACACACACACAATATGTTCTGCAAGGGCTCTCGTTGCAATATATCGACGATGCCCATAAAAGACATGTTACAGAAGTAAAGGACTTGGTCTTGTGCCACACATCGACAGTTAAGATGGTTTTGTCATTGTCAATCAAATGAACACATTGGTCAGGCTTAGGCGCTAGTCAGAATTACACCTTCATTGAAGCTATCTGGCCTATTTGCAAGCAACGTCTTTGTCAAATAAACTGTGCAACAAACAGTAAGACTCACGCATGCAGACACCTGCCCACAAGCACACACATGAACGCACGCGCGCACACACACACACACAGACATGGCGTCCGGCGGCGTCACTCTGGCAACACTATGAATTACTCCGCACTAGGTGTCACCAACTGGAGTCATGCTTCTACAATGGGAAGCCGCCGTGATGTAGCGGTTAGATGTTCGCCTTCAGATCCGACGGTCGTTGATTCAAATTCTGACGTAGTTGGACTTTTTTCAAGCATGACCTTGGCTCCTTAGTTGACCCAGCCTTAAATGTGTATCAGGTAAAATCTTGGAGTGTAAAGGCGGCCGGCTTGATGTAGACCACATTACCCACCAAGTGCCGATTGTTCTATAAAATATAGGTCTAGCCCTATATGCTCAATACGGGAAAGGGGTCCTTTACGTTTACTTGACACAAGGAGGGTTACTGTCTGTACATTGATCATAAACTCTACTTCAGACCAGACTTGATATCCATACCAACAGATGTATACATTTTCATATACCTCGTTTAGGGTGTTAAACACTTCTTAGATGTCAAACAATCGGATACATTGTTTCCACACCTTTAGTCTAGAAATGCATTTTCAAGAAAATGTGCGTTCATGAATAAACAAAACAGTAAATGCCTAAAGTAAACATGGATTCACGCAGTCTTTTCTTTTTCATCTTCTTCTTCCTGTATATATGTGTGAATGTGTAAGTGTGTGCGCGAGCGCACGTATGTAAACGGATAGTTCCAGTACTTTTGCAAACAGAATGCATCATGCCAACATTACTAAACCTTCCATAACCGATGACAAATAACCACACACACGTGGATGCTTGCTTTCCTCAACAACATTGTTCATAGAAAGAGACTCGCCGTACAGACAACAGCAAGCTACAAAAAACTTCGACAGACTCATCAATAATAGTGATTATTGGAAGAAATGAAGACCGACATCGGAATAACATTTGCTAGGCAACAGACGATTATAGAAAATGAAATCGAAAATATATAGACTGGATTTAATGAAGTTATAAAAAATGGAAATTCGGAAAATGCAGCTGCTGCACATTGTAATCTTCTCCCATTTGTTCTCAAATGTTAATGAGCTGTTAGCATTCTGTGATGGAGCGAAAGCTAACTTTACCGATAGAGAGCTACACTACAATACTTGGCTATTCGATACCAGATGTTTCAAGAGTTCACGTTGTTAGTTAATATATGTTATTTTTAGTATTGTGCATATTGTTTAATCTTGCTATGAGCTATAGGCAGACATACTGCAGGTCTTGGCATTCACCTTGAAGTGTACAGCTTGAAGGACGGGTCTATCGCATGCACTTCGTCAACAAACCTGAAATCACAGCCAGTTTATAACAATGTAGCCTATATATATATATTGGACATAAATGTACGCTAACAAACCGCTGTGTCACCCGGGTACTTAACAGCACTTGCACATTATCAGCCAACCTGGAATCAGCCAGTTTATAACAATTCATATAGACGTATGCATGGTAACATCCGCTGTGTTACCCACGTGCATATCACACATGCACACTTACATACATAGATTTACACACAAACACCTATGTGCGTATATACTTACTCACCTACTGGCATGTAATGTAGCATTTTTAGTCTGTTCATATTATCAATAAATTTATGTCTGTGTGGCTGTGAAACGTAACCTACTTTACACCCCCTCACCCCCCCCCCCCCCCACACGCGCACACACACATTCACATATGCACGGACCACATACACACATGCCAACAACACACAAACACACACACACTTGAGCAACAATATCTTAATTGCAATCTTAGCATTTCTTACATAGACAACGCTGGTAACTATTGTACTTTATTCAGGCTAATGGCAATTTAAACATTTCCTAATTCCTACACACAGACAAGTTCGCGCGCGCGAGCTACCCCCCCCCCCCCCCCCACACACACACACACACATATACATTCGCGCACAGGATTTATTCCCCCAACACACACACACACGTGCACATATACCCACACAAACATGTAAGTAAAAAAAGTAAAAGTAAAGATCCCTTTTCACGCCTTAGGCGCATCGGGTATATGGGAAGAGCGTCCCATATTTTTACAGACCAATCGGCACTGGATGGGTATTGTGGTCAGCATTACGCCGGACACAAACATGTACACGTTCATAAATATACCCATGCACGGACACACAATCCTGCAGCCACCCAACCCATAAAAACGTCACACACAAACCAACTTCCACACCACAGCCCCATGCCCACTTTTACCGCCATAATAATAATATCCCTTTACAGTAAAGTTTCCAAAAGTGCACTGAGCCGGTTTTTGATTTTCTGTAGAAAGCATTTTTGAAGAATGAATCTTTAAAATTGGCAACTCGTGCTATTAGGGTCAGCTAATTCACGCACACACACACACACACACACGCGCGCACAAACCACTGGTCACTCCCTCCCGCTATATATGTC